GGTTTTATTCCATTTTTATTTTTCCATCAGCCTAAAATGTGTTTGACAAGTTGATATCAAAAGACAGATCTTTCAATTTAATTCTATTTTTTTCTCTTCTGATTTTTAGACTGGCAATGAAAATATGACAAGATCAGAAGAGCGACGTCCTCTTGCACCCATTCAGGTAATTCTAATGCTGTCCAATTCATCTTTTCAATGTCAGCAACATTCTAATCTTAAATATTTCCAGATTGCTGAGAGACCTGCTTCTCAGTCAGCTGCCTCCTTTAGTCATCATGAGTCCCTGAGCGTAACCAGGGTATCTGGAAGTTACAGCCCAGTTGGATCACATAGAGAGTTTCCTGCAAATGATACTGGATCATTCTCGCTGTTCAGTTTGCCAACCAGCTCTCAGGACCCCTCTCAGGAAAATAGAACTACGAATGAGATGTCATCAAACCAAAGGGTAATGGTTTTATTCCATTTTTATTTTTCCATCAGCCTAAAATGTGTTTGACAAGTTGATATCAAAAGACAGATCTTTCAATTTAATTCTATTTTTTTTTTCTTATTTTTAGACCGGCAATGAAAATATGACCAGATCAGAAGAGCGACGTCCTCTTGCACCCATTCAGGTAATTCTAATGCTGTCCAATTCATCTTTACAATGTCAGCAACATTCTAATCTCAAATATTTCCAGATTCGTGAGACCCGATTCAGGGTGCCAGCTGTCTCTTCAGAAGGTGTCTTACCTAGTCCCCAAGACCCAAATTTTGTATTCGCTCTTAATACTGAAAGCCGGGTATGCCTTTTAACTATATTGGTGTAAATGAACACACTGACATACTGTTATTATTATCTGAAATTTATTCCAGGTTAATAGACTAATGGCTGATGCCGTTTCAACCATGAAATATGTAAGTTTATCAATCTTAAATTACCTTCTCCCTATATATTTTAAAACTTTTAGCTATCTGTTTTGTTTTACAGAAGTATGATGTGAAGTCTATACTTCAGAGGGCGATAGGCGGTTCTAAAGCCCTTGAAAGTTTGAACAATTCTCAATTTATTTATGGCGCGCAAAGGAATGTGATTGTGCAGGCCTTGGTAGATTACCTTTTTCAATCTGTGTCGTAAGTGTTGCTTCTACCTTTCTCTAATTAACAGTCTTAGCTGTGTTATAGAAACCATTTCCAGTCACTATTTTGTCCTTTTTTTAAAGGCATAAAGCCCAGGTGAGCACAATTATGAGGGAGTGTATGGCAATACAGCTTGTTGCTACATGGCCTGCCCTCAAAATGCACCTGTATTCTAAGGAAGATAGACCATGGGTAAGAATTTTTCCTCCCTTTTTTAACTATTACTATCCTTTTCAATGGATTTTAACCCTAGTTGGCTCTCTTTTTAAATACTTATGTCATCAGTTTCTTGTTTTAATTAAGTTACTTGACTTTTCCCTGTTTTATTAGCATTATTGGTACAATGCAGATCAGAACACAGGATATTTAGAAAATGCTACCCAGGTCAAACAAAGGACTAGTAAAAGATCAGGGGCTAGTGGCATTCGTAAATCAAGAAATACAACTGGTGCTAAGAAACCCAGAAAGCTGACTCTGGCAGCTGTTCAGGACAATCATGATGATTCAGATCCAGAAGAGTACATCAGAGATGTAAGTTATCTTCCCTCTGTTTCTTTTGACACTAATTTTGAATCAACACCTTTTTCCTAATGTAAAAATTCTTTCCTTTTGAAGGTGACTGAAGCCAGGGAATTAGTGGGTCACCCTCACCAGAGGTCAGTAGTACTCCAGCTGATGATCCAAACCCATGAAAGGAGACGAACCAAAATAGTTTTAAAACAGGTGGATACATTCAAAATTCTAAATGAATTCCCACAGTTCATGCACTTTCATGGAGATGTTGTAAGTTTTCAAATATTTTAGCCTTATCAAGCACTTTATTTTTTGTTTTGTACAAGCCAACAAATTTGTTTGATTTAGATTGAGCAAGAATTCAACCTTATATATGAACAGAAACAATCTTGTTTTGTCAGAGAATTTGTGTATGACATGGTGCCTAAGCTTCTTAAAATTGCTGAGAGTGACCCAAAAACATTTGAGAATTGTACCCCATCTCAATATGGTAAGGCCATCTCTTTCAGTATTTACCCATTTTACCAATGTCAATTTTTCTGAGACAAATTTAAATCAAATTTCTTTTATTTACAGATGTGATAAACGCCATTGTGGTGCTAGCCAAAATGCTGCCCACCCCAGTAAGAAGTTTTGAACATGAGAGAACAATGCCTCTACAGGCAAGTCTCAGTGATTTTTTCAATGTCATTCCAGTAAGTTCACTCTCCAAAAAAAATCATAGTATTAGGTCATAAGGTCGTTCAGAAGCATCAGATTAATTTTTGTTCACCTCTTTATCTTTCTGACACTACAGCACCTAATGCTAATTTTTTTTATATATTTTCCATTTTGTAGGTGAGCTCTGATCCCAATCAATATGTGACTCAAAGGCAAGCTGAATCAGAATACAAAGTTCAGCCCCATATCCTGGCTACAGGGAACCAGCAAGGGGTTAGAAAGATGTGGCTGGTAGTTGACAGTAAACTGATGGAATTGCACAGAAATGCAACACCTGTGACTGCAATAGACCTTCTCATTAAATCCTTTTTTGTGTTTCATCTACACTTCCCCTTGGCTTGGAAGAATGTGTTAAGGTTCCTCCAAGTCCACATATTTCAAATCCCGCTTGAAAATGAAAGATGGAGCAAGTTTTCAGAAGTTCATTTAAGGCTGAAACACTTCAGAGTTTAATTATTTTGTTGACGATAGGGTAAAGTGAAAGACTTCTTTAAAATGTCTGTGATATTTCTATCAGTGCTGGAATTGTTTTTGTTTCTTATTTCCTTGTTTTTTTCTGTGATACTATTGTAAGCGCTAAAATTGTTTAAGTTTCTATTATTATTTTAGATCACTAGAAACGGAAGTTTTCTACCCTTCACTTATGACAGAGATCCTGACAAAAATCAATGGTAACATTGTTCAAATATTGATTTCATTTTATTATTTATATGAAAAAGTCTGATCTGTTCTTCAGAGGGTCCACAATTTAATGAAGAACTGGGCTTCATCTACTGATATAATTTGGTCTACTTCTTTTATTATTTCTTAAATGGAAGTTTGTAAAAAGTGCAGTATGTACCAAATTCATCTGAGTACAATACGCTTGTTTTTATTAACCAAACAAAAACAAAAAAAAAAATTGCTATGTTAAGAACTATAATTGAACACATAGTCTTATAGGATGTATGTATACTTTTTGCCCCCCCCCCCCCCAAATTTTGGCCTTATATAGTGTAGGGGTTTTAGACTCAGATGATTACGTAACTCAATCTGCCAGTACAATTTAAGAATAAAGAAAGAATTCTTTATTTCTCAGTTAAGTCAGTAAAGCCTGATGTTACATGATAAAATATTGTCCAAAGCCAAAATCAAGGTTCCTATTTTTGTTTAGTAGTCCTTAAAATTTTTTGATTGCAGAAGTGCAAGTGTGATTTTCAGTTTTATCTTCCTTTATAAATTTCTCTTTGTTTCTCATGGAAGTATAAGATTAATACTCAGTCTACAGGACAAATTGTATCTTTTTTTAACCTGGCAGTTGCTGGGAAGTTGGGGAGCAAATACAGTAAATACTTTGACCTTTTATTTATTGAATTGTCTAATCAACCTTCTCCAGAATTCCTACTCAAGATCTTCACACACTGACAAAATTTTACTCAATATTTAACAGCCGTTTCAGAAATCTTTTCGTGGCAGCACTAGTACATCAATATTTCACAGTTTGCAAACAAACCACACTCTTAAAATGCATGAGAATTAAAACAAAATGCACAGTTTATGATTAAAGACAGAAGCAATCTATACTAGAAATAATACACCTGTACACATTCAGTCAGTTAACAGAATTGGGCATCACTGGATCAAGGTGTTGTGTTGAAGCCAGAGATGAGTTTGGTTTTGCTGGTACTAGCAGTTCTCAAGTTCAACAGCCCGCACAAAAAAACTGTAACAAATAGTAAAAGAAACACATGCGCTAAAATATTTTTTGTGTATATTGGCCTCTTGACTTGTAATCTAAATATTATTGTACCAACCGTGGTCCTATTTACTGGAGTCGCCAAGCCTCTTGCACAGCTAATAAGGTAAATTTGAACACTCTACTGTTTGGATGAAGACTAGGCCTGCATGAGTCACAAAGAACAGCCACTGTAAGCAGAAACAGTAACACTAAGCCTATTATACGGAACCAGATCAAATGTTATTTAAAAATGTACATTTCAGAGCACGATTAGTGTGTAAAAACTGCATCTGTAAGTACTTCACAGGCAACATGTTTCCAAACTTGCTGAACTCATCTTATACAACAGACATACATTTCAGAAGGTCTTATGATTCTCTATGCATGCAAGTATCACAAACCTCATCCACATTGGCAACATCCATCTTGACTCATAACAAGGAGCTCTGAATCCACTTTCCCGTTCAAGCATTAACCAGCAGCTGATGAAGAAAGCAGGAAACTCGACAGAGCAGACACCTGCAACAGTTAGACAATAAAAGATAAATGGCAGTCCAAAACTGAAACAATTAATACAAACTACCAAACATGTTGGTCAGGAAGATGCCAGAAGCACATTTAGAAAAGCATGAAAATTGTTATTTCATGTGAGGTTTTCACAACACCAATAGAACTCATTCGGTTTTAACCAAAGTGCCAGTTGATCGTGCATAGGCCTAAAATCTTACAAAAAATAGGGGAAATGCGTGAAAATTGCTATTGCATTGCTCAAACGGTTGTGGCGATAAAAAGCAAAGCAATGAAAACAGATACTAAAACACTAAGCCGTGCGGAAGGTTAAGTTACTCTCACCTGGAGAAACTTTCAAAGTCGCAGTTACACGCACTACGGAAGGCGTACGAAAGGATAACGCCTTTATAATTGTATTCAATTGAGACGGCACCGTCAAGACTCGCAAGTCACCAGAACCGTCTTAATTCTCTGGATTGTAGAATGTAAATAGACAAGGGTCGGGGGTGAAGGTGAGGAGGGAAGCAGGGAGGAAAGGGGGGGGGATAACAAACAGCTGACCAGCTTGAAAAAGACTGCGAATAACGCATCAACGCGTTGTTTCACCTTGGTCATGTTGTTTTGTTTTCGTTTTCGTTTTGAAAAGCAGAAGTAGTTGTAATTCCAGTAGGCTGGAGAATTATCACAAAGTTTTGCCATGGTTCTAGAAAAAGAAAATCTTTTGTTGTGCCAATTACGTTTGTGTGTCCGAATACCGACGTTTCGTGCTGTTTTCTTGTCATTTAATGGTTCCCCGAAAACCATGACAATACTTGTTGATCGAACCGGCAAGAATTGCAACCTAACCCTTCTTCTGTGGATGTGATCAGATGAGTGTTCTAGATAGGTATGTACATGATTTCAATCACTGCAAAATCCTAGGATTTTAGTGGCCAGTCCACATTCTTCACATTATATGCTCATGTAAAAAAAACATTTTCAGTGTTATTTTGGAACACACTTTGATGATTAGATATCATTACTATGTTATTCTCATTAAGCTTCCCTACTTGATAGTTCAATTGGTCCACTGTCCACTTTGATAGTGGAGCTTTAACTCGGATATTGATGTGTTAAGACTTAATTACAACCAGAAGTTATTTTAACATCAGGCGTGTGACTTGTGAGCGTATCAAACTCTTCTTCTCTCAACTTTGCGCATCTTATCAATGAACATTTCCTCATCTTGACTTTGATTGATAGTTCACCGTAACTTACAGCCAAACTCACCGTAAGATACAGTGACATTCACCGTAAGTTACGGTCAAACCCATTGTAAGCTACGGTGCTGCAGCTTGACCGTAGCTTACGGTTAAATCAACCGTAAGCTTTTAACAGTGTTCCGCACACCGCAAACACACAATCTGCAGCCCCAGATTTCTTTTCCATTTTCCCGTGCCGAGGAGCGGTTGCCACAGGGGTTGGCTGTCTGTCCTCATTATGCACCCTGGCAGCAACGGCGGGAGAAATACGGCCAGATAGAGGCCGAGACGGTGTGTGCTGCAAGGGGTGTGTCACCTTGTGTGGGAGGGAGAGGGAGGTGAGCGCTGCTATCGGAACGCCACTATCGGAGGGAGAGAGGGGGAGAGAGAGAGAGAGGGAGAGAGGGAGAGAGAGAGAGAGAGAGAGAGAGAGAGAGAGAGAGAGAGGCGGTGGAGGCGAGAAGTCCTGCCCCCCCCCCCTCCTCTGCTCCCCGCATGAAATGTGACAGCGGAAAACGCAGTGGCAGTCCGGCCACGCAGATTAGCCATCAACCGAAACCCGCGCGACGAAATGTGCCCCAGCCACGCGAAAGGGCCTCCCAACGCTGATGTATGCATTCATTTTTTTAAAAGAGAGAAAGAGGGTTTTTGTGGGGGGGGGGGGAGGGGGAGTCACACATACCCCCCATATCCAGTGTTCAAATCCTTCTCTCCACATCAGCACTCTGAACAGGGCACTCCTCCTGGATCGCATGACATCGAGCTAAATGCGATCTAGGATTCCGTGGACGGCGTCTACGTCCGGACAATGCTGTGTAGGGGGCCCGGAGGGCGGGTTCTATTATCAGTATATTATATATACACTGACGTGCACTGGGGGTGACGGCGTTGACGCAACTAGCCGACGTCACGGAGGCAGCTCCATCGCGCGTCCACTTGCCCTGGTCACATATTACAAGAGGCGTCAGGACGTCAGCCACTGAGCGTTGTTCCGTGGCCAACACGGTGGAAGCCGGGCAACAGGAAATATGGGCCAGAATGAGGACATTTGCCATCATTTAACTTGAACTTCTGAAATTTTTTATTCCGTACTCATACGGGATGGGGAACACATATTTTTAGGGGGCAGGGCATGAGCCAGAAAGAGACCTTCCCTCAGCCTCCCTCTGCATAACACGGGCCAGGAGTGGCCGCAGCCGCCACCTCTCGATGTGAGGCAGATTTACAGTCGCCGGCCCAACGAGCCCCAATGGGGGTTGGGCCCGCGCAGCAGCAGCAGTAGCAGCAGCGGGGCCCCGCAGCTTGGCGACCAAAATTATTATCATTAGTATTATTTCACAGGCGGGGGCTGCCGCTAAAAACGCCCGCCTCAATGACCCGCGTTAAATTAGGGCGCAAAGGGGTAAGAGCAGCGTTGGCGGCGGGGAGAGGAGGAACAAGCCCACCCCCTCTCAGCTGTGAAAGCGGTATAGGCTTCGAGCAACACTACACCCCCCGACAAGACAGCGGAGGACTTTCCCAACTTCCACAATGCAGTTCAACTGTGAAAAAGCATTTTTTTTTTTTTGCAAAATTATACCGTTTGGAACATTTTACGCAACTTAAACCAATGACATGACACATGTGTCACATTGCTTGTGCTGTTATTTTTTAATATTTTTTTTTTAAATAGGGTGGATGGGTGGGAAACAAAAAGTCTAAGGTATTTGAAAAAAAAATTCGTGCAATTGCCACCACGTCATACGTCAAGTGAATAGGCATTCACGAAGGGGGTGGCCGCGTTCTGACACCTGGCTGCCGCCACGCCCCGGCCCGCCATATTGGTCACCGCCAAAGTTATTGCCGAATGGCCACGTAAAATGTTGGCCCGGCGCGTTTTAAACGGGGCTCAGTTATTATCCAAGTGGCGCGGGAGCCAGGGGGAGGGGAGTGACGGGGGAGGCAAAGGGGAGGGGGTGTTTGCGATATTAATTGATTACAAAAGGGTTCGGCTGGCCGTGCCGGACTGCGTTGGATGTGGGGTGGGGGCGGGGGTAGGAGCCCGCCCTCGCTGTTCTGCAATGAGTGAGGGGGTGGGACGTCGGAGCCGCCCGTGGGGGCCGAACAAAAAAGTAAACAACAAACCCGACAAAACGCCCCCAATATGTGTACACAGCAACAAGCAAAAGAGGGCGGGAGGAGCGGCGCATAGACAGAGGGGAAAACATCGGCATGCAAATGTGCCGGGGAGGGAGCTCCGTAAGAAGAACGCGGGGTTGCCAACCTCCTCGAGGATCCCGTTGCACCGGGAGGCAGGGCCAGCGGCGGCAGCAGGACCTTCAAGAGGTCCTTTAGGTCCCTTTAGGCCCCTCCCGCCGCGCGCGCGCTGTTGCATTGCAAAGCAGCAAAGATGCACCGGCCGGCGATAAGGGCGGGCCAGCCAGCAACCGCATCATAAATGGAGAGAAAAAACAAATCGCGTCTGTCGGCAGGACTTGCAGCCGCTGCAGGAAGACGACGAGGACTTACAGTCGGGAGAGAGGTGGCGGTACGTGTCCAACGCCCGAGGCGGCGACGGACAGAATCCCCAGCCTCCTCACCCACCACCACCCCTCTTTTCAAGAAATACTGTACACAGCGACAAAAAGAGAAGGGAGAAAAGCGCAACACCAAACAACCCCAACACAAAAATAAACCACGTCGGGTCTTGGCCGGCACGGGAAACGCGTACAAAGGCCACGTCGCCCATTTCCGCTTCGGCCTCATTCTCCCCGGTGGCCCCGGGCGGGGCGGGACCGGCGGCACGCGAGGGTGGCCGACGGCGAGGGTGCGCGCGGCCCCCGCGACCCCCAAGAAGGGCCCCGCGCGGCCCCGCCGCGCCTTCGCCGGCTCGGGTTTCTTTGCTGCGGGGTATCAATACGGGAAAGCACAAGAAGAAAGGGGCGGGCGGGCGGCGGCGCCGTGACGCGGTCGCCTGTCCAACAATAGCCGCCCCCGCCGAAAAAGAGATCG